ATTCTCAGAAAAAGAGTGTTCTAAAGTGTCATTTGTACATTGATGCTGTTTTTCGAAAATGATTATTCACTAAACTGAATCAAATGAATACAAATATGATATCACTAAGCTGCTTAAAATAAGCACAGACTATACCAGGATCTTTCGAATCAATATGGTAATTCAGAAAGTTTTGTTCTTTTGAGTTCTTTTCAATCGGATCATAAGCCATCTGAATGATTCAAAAAACAGATCACACTGAGTTCAAGCAGAAACATGCATGTGGCAGTGAAATGATACATGGCTTTACTGAAACAGGCATGTCTGACTGAACACTCGATACGGCAAAACTTTCTTCCCGTACTCAAAGCTCAAAGTACTGACATTGGAGGGCAGGCCTCCAGGGAGAGGACAGGGACATCATCACATCATCACTTGGTCATTTAGAGACTCTCCACACCAGCTTTTGAACTGACACTTACTGTTTCCCCCCAAGAGTTCAATTAATTCTGGTGTGAGTATCAGCCGCAGGCCAAGATGGCTGCAATGTGAGTGTGCGAGTTCTCTAGAGCTCACTGATTCATGTTCACGGTTGACCCGTGCCTCGCAGAAAACCCTTGTGACAGGCTGTTGGTGGGGCCGTTACAAAATGGCAGAGTTAGTCATGACACACATTTCCATAATAGCTTTGGAGGGTGTCAACGAGGCGGCGCTTGAATGAGAGCAGGCAGCACAAGCTAGCAGTTCTATTGATATAAATAGAGCTGCCAGAATCAGAGGATCTATGAGGAACACTCTGAAATCCTGTAGCCTAATTGTTTTTTTTTTTTTGTTTTTTTTTGCCTCAAAAGAAATGTGAAGATGCAATTGCTTTTCTTTTTGTTTAATGCATGTTAGAGTCCAACCCTCCCACCCCCCATTAGAGTCTTCTCATACTCTGATAACTGAACCCATGGGATGCATAGAACAATGCTGTTCAAACAGCCCTAGGTCTGAAAAAGCCAATATAATCGTATTAGTATCGGTGTGGTTGTAAAAATACGTCTTTTATGCTCACTAAGGCTGCTTTTATTTGATTAAAAACACAGTAAAAAAACAGGAATAGTACTACAAGAGATTTGAGAATAGACCTAAAGATTTGTACGTCTCTAACATTCATGTGTAAAATGGGTTACGTGTTAAGTGCTGTTTTAATACAGTGAAAAGTGTCTATCCAAACATAAAAATGTATGTGTACACTTCACCACTTGAACACTGTGGAGACCAAGCTGAAATCTCAGCATTGACTGAGCGCAGAGACGTGTAAAAAAATATTATAAAATCACCTCCGAGATGTAAAACATGCCTCATTAGTCCTGAAATGGGCATTCACTGCCAAATAGCTATGAAATGAAGACATTAAGACTTCTGCATGGTACTATATTAATCAAATTAAAATGATATAATGCTAATTACATTTTGTCTAGAGAATGAATCTTGTGTGGAAAGAGACGTGCAATCTCAATTTCTAAGGCATTCTCCCGTGATGTCAACACTGATACGCACCGTCCTTTGGCATCTGAGGACACTAAATATTTAATTCCGTTCCAGCCCTGACACATCGGGCATCCTGCAATCTGAGGTGACATAAATCAGCAAAACATCCAGCTGCTCATCTACATCTGCACTCTTCACTCTTCACAGACCTGATCTCCACAGGTCCCTTGAGAGCCCAATGCCCTTCACACCGTCTTACTCCAGTTTAACACTCCTTTCACAGGAAGGCTAAGAATCTTGACGAAAACGAGAAGCATGAGTTGAACGTATCACCCCACGTAAACATCACATTTCATCTGCATAAATCTGCATTGCAAAATCATTTTAGTCACAGTTAGGGATCAGGCCCCGGGCATGCACAGTGAAAATGTTTTGTCAGGTAACCTAAATATATGCTTCCTGTGGTAACATCTAAATGAAGGGGTTTAATTCGAGTCAACATTTTGTTTAATATGACGGAATCAATCAGACTGCGTCCCGGATGGGACGGTTAACTAAAATTAAGTCATTAACATTCTTTGTGAGGTGGAATTTAATTATCATCGATGCTCAACAAGTATACAATATCACCCGTCAGTGAAATATACCATCACAACAAAAGAGCAGAGGAGGAATGTTGAGGCAGGCAAGAGGAAAAAACTTCTTTGATAGAGAGCTCTGTTGCAAACATAACATATACACTCACCTAATGGATTATTAGGAACACCTGTTCAATTTCTCATTAATGCAATTATCTAATCAACCAATCACATGGCTGTTGCTTCAATGCATTTAGGGGTGTGGTCCTGGTCAAGACAATCTCCTGAACTCCAAACTGAATGTCAGAATGGGAAAGAAAGGTGATTTAAGCCATTTTGAGCGTGGCATGGTTGTTGGTGCCAGACGGGCCGGTCTGAGTATTTCACAATCTGCTCAGTTACTGGGATTTTCACGCACAACCATTTCTAGGATTTACAAACAATGGTGTGAAAAGGGAAAAACATCCAGTATGCGGCAGTCCTGTGGGGGAAAATGCCTTGTAGATGCTAGAGGTCAGAGGAGAATGGGCCGACTGATTCAAGTCAAGTCAAGTCAAGTCATCTTCATTTATATAGCGCTTTTAACAATGGATTGTTTCAAAGCAGCTTTACAGAGATAAACGTATAATTTAAGGTAACAGATTGTTTTTGGCGTTATAGCGGTTCTTGAATAATGTTACTTCCAGCTAAAGTTAACTTTGATTGATTCACCTCCGTCGAAATGATCAGACTTTAAACGCGAACCTGTGATTAACGCTGACGGCGTTCACATGCTCATTCAGAATTCTATAGTTATGTGCTTTTTAAAATATGTGCGCAGGTTTGTAATTCATACAACGCAGCCTAAACAAACTACTTTTCTTGCCTATAAATTTTGATACAGAATTTGTTTTATTTTATCACTTCGGGGTACGCGAGCCGGAATTCACAACGCTTTATCTGTAGAGTGGGAAAGGGATCCTCCATAGGGAGAGGATAGTGGATACTTCAGCACTGCATTGTCATCGAGTCCAGGCAAAGCTCCCTCGTCAGATCTGGACACGGCCTGGATCCGGCAGGCTGCGGGAAAACCTCGGGATAAACAAAGACACTAATATTAGCGTAGATGCCATTCTTCTTATGATGTAGCGAGTACATCAAGATTTAAGGGAAGTGTTCCCAGTTCCGGCTGACCTAATCTATGCAGCCTAACATTGAATTTATAGAAGTCTATAATGTATTATGTGTATGCTAGGTCAAAGAGATGTGTTTTTAGTCTAGCTTTGAACTGACAGAGTGTGTCTGCTTCCCGGACAATGGTAGGAAGACTATTCCAAAGTTTTGGTGCTAAATAGGAAAAGGATCTCCCGCCTGCAGTCGATTTAGATATTCTAGGTATTATCAACTGGCCGGAATTTTGAGATCGCAATAGACGTGAAGGAGTATAATGCGTTAAGAGCTCGCTCAAGTACTGCGGAGCTAAACCATTTAGTGCTTTGTAGGTAATCAACAATATTTTAAAATTTATACGATGTTTAATAGGGAGCCAATGCAGTGTTGACAGAACCGGGCTAATATGGTCATATTTCCTGGTTCTGGTAAGAACTCGAGCTGCGGCGTTTTGAACTAGCTGTAGTTTGTTTATTAAGCGTGCAGGGCAACCACCCAGTAGAGCATTACAATAATCTAGCGTTGAGGTCATGAACGCATGGACTAATTGTTCCGCATTTCCCAATGAGAGCATATGGCGTATTTTAGATATATTTTTAAGATGGAAAAATGCAGTTTTACAGATACTAGAAACGTGGCTTTCAAGCTGATAGAAGAGCAACTTTGACTGAAATAATCACTCGTTACAACCGAGGTATGCAGCAAAGCATTTGTGAAGCCACAACACGCACAACCTTGAGGTGGATGGGCTACAACGGCAGAAGACCCCACCGGGTACCACTCATCTCCACTACAAATAGGAAAAAGAGGCTACAATTTGCAAGAGCTCACCAAAATTGGACAGTTGAAGACTGGAAAAATGTTGCCTGGTCTGATGAGTCTCGATTTCTGTTGAGACATTCAGATGGTCAGAGTCAGAATTTGGCGTAAACAGAATGAGAACATGGGTCCATCATGCCTTGTTACCACTGTGCAGGCTGGTGGTTGTGGTGTAATGGTGTGGGGAATGTTTTCTTGGCACACTTTAGGCCCCTAGCGCCAATTGGGCATCGTTTAAATGCCACGGCCTACCTGAGCATTGTTTCTGACCATGTCCATCCCTTTAGGGCCACCATGTACCCATCCTCTGATGGCTACTTCCAGCAGGATAATGCACCATGTCACAAAGCTCGAATCATTCACACTCCACATTCACACTCCACATTCCAGCTCATTTTATGTACGCACATAAAAAATAATTATTACAATAAAATGGTGTACTTCCACAACAATCTTATGTAAATTGTTTTCCAGTCCAAATATTTGTAATTAGCAAACATGAACAGACAGCAACAGATTTCCAGTTCCTCTTCATCCCCCAGTACCAATCATGGAAGGATATAAATCCTACAAAGTAATAAATAACCGTACAAATGTTACATGAAAGTTAGGAGAGTTTGTTTACAGAGGGCGTTGAGTCGCTGGGTGGGTTTGGGGCCCTGTGACAGTTCTGCCCTCGGGCCCCTCCTTTGATCGGGCCCTGCTGTACATCCAATTAATCAGGACCCAAAGCACAGTAGGAGAAAGTTGAAAAGATCAGTAAACACATGAAGGGAGGGAAGGCAGTTGGCCTCAGAGAACTGACTCTACGTGCGAAAACCTTAACAGATCGACCACTGAGAGGCAAATGAAAGCAGCCTGGCTGAAGCTCAGAAAATACACACAAGTAAACAGAAATAACGGCTCTCCATCATAGCGATCCGCCAATTCTATCTAAGTCGTTCAAAGAATCGATGCCCAGTGCAGGTAATGAAGCCCAGAGTAAAAGACTGAACTTACTATAGTGAAGTTCATAACTTTGAGGATCCAGATGGTGAGAGCGAGGTTGACCACTATGAGGATCATGAGGAGGAGGACAAAGAAGTAAAGGCAACGTTTCCGCCAGCCGTAGATCCCCACTTTATACAGTTGCGGTTTTTCAGTACTCTGGACATTGTTCCTATGAGGGCACTGTTCCTGGGTCATCTGCAAGAAGACACAAATAAAACGGTAATTGAAGGATTTTGTTAGAGGCATTGAAACATGATTTAGTGGTCAGTGATATGACACTTTTTTTTGTCCTAATGTACCATGTATTCAAAAGTACGTACAAAATGCAATTCATATAGAATTACTTGAGAATGCTACTTTTTTTGTTTTCATTTTTGTTGGTGTGACCAACAAAGTCATGTGATCCAACTAAAATGCAGAAACATGCAGAACATGAAATTATTCACAGAGAGCAGGTAAGTAAAAAAAAAAGGTCAGTAATGAAAAATATATTAATGCCATATAATTTAATATTTTTACAACAGTACAAGATTAGTTCAAGTTCAAGGTTCATCTCCCCAAAAATGCAATGATATATATGAAACATTAATGTCATTATATTTGTTAAAAATACTTTTTATCTTGAACACATCTTAATAATTATATATATATATATATATATATATATTAAGATGTGTACCCTCACATGTATTCAAGGTGTAAGCAAAATAAATGACTTTTTTACTTTAAAACTTTTAAAAAGTCATTAAATTTAAACTTTTATTGGAAGTGGTGAAAAAGATTTTTTTAAACCATATGAAACCAACATGAATACACATATTACATTACAAAATAAGTGGAAGTACCTGGCATTTATGTGTTTTAAAGTAGATTTTGAAAAGATTCATATGTCATTGACCCTATTTTTGTAGATATAGATGGAGGAGTAAATGTGTACAGTAAAGACACTGCAATGCAGAACAATGGAAAATAATGCTTTGAGAGACAGTGCCTTTGGGATAGTCTGTCACTTTTGCCCTATTTATAATGAAATCATTCACTCAGACAACCATCTACGCTGGTTACAAAATACATGAAGGTCAATAAAGGGAAATCAGTGGGCTGGAAGTGTATCTCTGCTCAGCCAGCATGGAAACACTGACTGTGGGATATTCTGATATGAGTTTGACCCAGTCAGTGGAAAAGTTTGCTATGTTTTTTGCACTCCCCTCTAAAACCTACATTTCATCTCTAAATTTCTACCAGTTTCACATGAGTAAGTAGGTGACTGATTCAGGACACAGAAGGGTGAAGAATAATCAGTAATACAGCAAGGGTCCAGTTTTTATGTATGTAATATGGAATTATATTGGATTAATCTGTTTTAAATGAGGTATTCACATATGTTAGAAACTTACAGGTGTGACTCCCAAACCGTCCTGCATTCGAAATCAAATATTTCCTTACTAAATAGTAAGAGGAAAACATTATGCAAAAAGAGTAGTACGTCCAAATACACCGTTTTGGAAAAACAGTAATCTACTACATCCGCCGAGATTCTGGAGTGCACACTTAATGAACACTTTACTATCCCATGAGGCATGGGAGAGGCATTATGGCCAAACCACAGAGCATTTATCTCTTCTGGGTCCATCGTCCTCAAGTCAATGTTTTTTTTATTTTAATTTTTTTTATAGGTTTTTGGTTAAATGCTTGAAATAAGGTCTGTGGTTAACACAAGCTCAAGAACATTCCATTGATTATCTCTAATGAATATACAATTATATTATAAAAAAAATATAATAACATATTGCTTTTTAAAAAATAAATAAAAATAACAGGTAAAATGCAATCTTTTCTTCCTAGGACAGGCAAGCTTTTGCACCATTTATTGAAAATAATTGAAGTCAATGATCTGGTGTCTCCATAATTAAGAATAAAAACCTCTTTGCATCATTGTGATATTTTCTAAATATGCACATAAATAATTGCACGTCCTTCGGCTATTCTGATGTTCAGCGTGTCTGTAGGAATGGGGTTTCTGAGGCTTTCAAAGATTTAACCTAAATAAGAGGTGAAGTGATTAATGGGACTCAACGAGGAAAAACAGTATAATTAATTTGCTAATACTCCTCTGCAAGGGGGAAGGCAAACAGTTGTGCATTACTTTAACCAGCAGGAAGAAGACTGCTCCCTACATTTGAGTAAAATAAACATAAAGCTTTTTTTATAAAAAAATATATGGTTTATGGGTCAGTGACATACAGTATAAGAGTGACAACAATAAATAAAATATAAAAAATAAATATAGCTTTCTTAGAAATGCAGTCTTTCTGTTAATGTTGCATACAGTATATGGTTTTGAACAATCTTTTATTCCATTTTCAAGAAAAGTTTCAATTCGATTGACCTCGATTTGAACAGATTCTCATATTGGTGGACCGATATCACTTCTTAAATCCCAAGAATCAATCTTTTAGTCTATGCTGCTTTTAGTTGATGCGTGAACAAAACTTCACTAAACATTCCCAGACAGCAACATAGTGTCGGCCCAGATCCTGCCCACATCTGGACCATGTGGAATCCATATGTTGCTGCCTGGGTTGTTTGTATAGCTCCCCTCCCATGTCCCATCCGATAAATTACAATAAGTCAAAGCTTTCAAATTTTGTCATTCAAACAATAAATACGGATTTGGCACACTCTTTAATGTAGCATGAGCAGTGGTGGGGAAAGGTACCTTTGAAAGTAATGTGTTACAATATTGCATTACCCTAAACAAGTAATTGCGTTACTTGCATTCCCTGCCAGTGTTTTTGTTTTGTTTTTCTTAAAAAGTTGCCGGTCAGCACTAACATTTTTGATCATGTTCACAAAGTTTTCATGGCCCCCAGAATATTTTGTTGTATGAATATCTGAACATGCAATATATAGAAAGAAAGAAAGGCCTCTAAAAAACAGGGCAGGTTTCATACAGAAATAGGAACATTTTAAGCAAAAAGCTAAGAAAACGTGTTTTCGTCAAAGACTAAATCCAGATCGGATTCAGAGCAAGGATCAAAACATAGATGAAGTTGATCGAGTCCATCGACATCCCCAAAGCTTGCACAGTCCTATAGCTCGTCCTGGGTCGACCTTTCATTCAGTTTTGATTTATATGCTGTTTCAATGTTGATGATAGTGTTATTTTACATACAGTATGTATCAGCTTACATATGCTATGCTTGTTTCTGCTTCTTCTTCACGTCTTTTGATCAGGAGATTCAGTACTCTTTCAAAAGATGTGTCATGCCCCCCCCCCCCCCCCCCCCCCCCAATGGCGGGGAAAGAGTTAAGTAATGTTAGGTTATTTTTGCATTATTTTTTCTACCCTGGCCTGGGCTTGCTTGTTGACATGAAACAAACTTCTCTTCAGCTTTATTTCTAGTTATACCACCAAATAAACATGAATTTACACCAGAAGGTATGTTTAAAATATACAGAAATGTAAAATGTCTTGTGTATTCGCTCAATCAGTGTTTTAACCGCTGAAAGACATCAACAAAACAGCTTGTAAACAATATGTCATGACATTTACCTCAGAAAAGACCATAGATCAATAACCATATTCGATTTAGTGTTGTAGTCATCACCACCTAAACCGAGACCAAGTCAAGACCAAGACAAGTCTAAAGCTTTGAGGGGTTGAGACCAAGACAAGACCAACACAATGCAGGGCGAGACCAATTAACACCCTTCAAATTCATCTAAATGATCCACATTTACTGATGTTTAGTGTCATGTGGTGTAACGACACATTAATAACATACAGTATTGTGATTCCACCTTGAATGTGTGTACACTTAAACATTATACATTATATATATTGAAGAAATCAACTTTTTCTTCAATGCAAAGTATTATTTTTTAATAAATAAACCCCAAGTAAAATGTCAGTAATAAAATGAGAACAAATAAACAAATTTCTAACAACCACACAAATAAATGCAATAGTATAAAGAGAGCTATAAAATAAACATGGCTTTACATTTTTAAGGTTGGTCTAACAGGTTATGAAATACTACAGAAATTAAGGTAATCAAATGTAAAATAACACTGCATAGACCTCATTGTAAAAATTAAATACAGATTAATGCTTGCAATTCAAGTCAAGAGCAGAGAGAGATTTTCTGTCTTTTGTTCTTAGATTAACATGGCAAACAGCAACAGGAATATTAGACTACTGTCACTTTAAGAGTTTTCACTTGCAGAACGCAAGTTTCTGGGTGGCACGTAAGTCTGAAGTAATGAGTATACATAGGTAAAAGGGAGCAGAGCCAGTGGTTGTTCTGTAGGCAAAAGTCAGTGACTTGAATTTGATGGCAACCAGTGCAATTTCATGAGGAGAGGAGGGTGTTCACTTTGGCTTGTTAAAGACCACTCTAGCTGCAGCATTCTGGATCAGTTGTAGAGGTTTGATAGTACAAGCTGGAAGACCAGCCGGGACAGCATTACAATAGTCCAGTCTGGATAGAACAAGAGCTTGGACAGGGAGTTGTGTAGCATGCTCCGATAGGAAGGGCCTGATCTTCCTAATGTTGCAAGGCAAATCTGCAGGACCGGGCCGTTCTAGCAATGTGGTCTGTAAAGTTCAATTGATAATCAATCACAACTCCAAGGTTCCTGGCTGACCTTGATGGAGGTTTTTTTTAAGTTTTTTTTTAAACTATTTTATTTATGTTCCAAAACCGACTGTGTTTAACTAAATACTCGCCAAGACGTGCATTTTGACATAATTGTGTATGTATTTGACCGTTTAAGTGCAGTAAGCCATTTATTTCGGTACTTGCGACTCACAGAGGCGGCTTGTGCTCCACTTGAGATTATGCCAAACTACTTAAGCTTTCATTTTTATGCATTTCATTCTTTAACTTCTTCAGATTACAGTTGTATAATCCTGTCAGAAATTAAAAGTCCTGCTCCTGCATTCAAGTCTTTGTACGTGTGAATTGCATTTGTAATATATTTGTTTAACAAATTAACAGGTCACAAAATGCAATTACAGCAATGCAGAAACTGTATTTGTTCCAGTCCGGTTTAACCTTGATGTTGAATGTTCAGTGTAGTAATAAAACTACATTAATAATTTCATAATCATCTGGAAGCTCAATTACATTTCTGCAAAATGTCCTTGGTATGCTGAAAACAACAGCCAGGCTTTTACCATCCACAATAAA